TTAAAATTCTGGGACCTAGATTCAAATCCCAGCTGCACCGTAGACTGAGGGGGAGACCGTGGGGAAATGGCTGGCTCTGTTTCTTCTCCGTAGATTGAGGTTGGTAACAGCCCGAGGGGGACGTCGGGACTGACTGGGCTGCCTATGGTACCCACGCTGCCCCACAGGCACAGGTGGGAGGTTGGATTTTGTTCCCAAGGGCCTCCTCCACCTGACCCAAAGTGGGTGCCTTTAAAAATAAACTCCAGGCTGGAGTGTTTGCTCTTCCCATTAACCGTGACAGAAAGGGTAGTGGTCGAACGAACTTAGAACTCACTGGAGCTGAAGGCTGCCTCCTGTTTCAGACGCTTTTGAAAGAGAAGAAGGAAAGAAACATGGCCAGGGAGTCCATCGCCCCCACCCCACGCCCCGGGGACTACACGTGCCACACAGGACTGCCTGTCTTCCTCACGGAAGCTGCTGGTCTCTAAGTGACCAAGCCTCCTCTCCGAGGCTTGGCAATACCTGTTCTTTTGACGACATATTGGACTGCAACCCCTCCACCGGCTCCATCCCCTTCCTCCCGAGCCTTCGTTTTCTGTTTTCTCGTCTGCACAGAGGATGGGCATACTTACCTTCTCTCTCTGCTATTGAGCCATTGCTGACTCATAGCGACCCTACAGGACAGGGGTGACCTAGCGTTTCCCGGACTGTGACTCTTCACCGGGCGGGGAGAAAAGCCCCGTCTTTCTCCCAAAGAGACGCTGGTGTGTTCAAACTGCTGACCTCTCAGTTAGCAGCCAAACGAGTTGCCACTAGGGCACCGGGGCTCCCTTGGCAGTGCTTGCCCTTAAGAGATCGCTTTCAAACTCAAAACTCAAACCCAGTTGCCATCGACTCAATGCAGACTCACAGGGACTCTCCAGGACAGGGTAGAACAGCCTCTGCGAGTTTCCCAGGCTCTACATCTTTACAGGAGTAAAAATCCCCGTCTCGCTCTCCCCCAGAGGGGCAGGTGATTTCGAACTGCTGACCTTGTAGTTAACAGCCCAACCTGTAACCACTACACCACCAGGCTCCACCTACCCTCGTGACTTGCTAGGAGGCAGAAAGGAAGCAGATAGAATTGCTAGCTTGAACATTCATGCCAGGCGCTGTGAAGCACATGTTGGTTCATGTAAGCCTCGCCAGGACACTGTGGTAGAGGCTGTGGCAGGGGTCTCCCTTCTGAAGTGGAGAAAAGGGAGGCGCAGAGAGGGGAAATGACTCACCCTAGGTCCTACAGACAGGAAATGGCTGGGACAAGCTGTGAAGGGGTGGGGCTGCTCAGGTCTTACGGTGTTGTTAGCATGGAACCTGGCACCCCAAGTCCCCAGCGGGCAACGCTGGACATGACCACCATGGAGGAGTTGCCACAGGACCTGGCGTGGTATGTTCTCTTGTACACCGGGTCACGGTGAGCCGGAGCCGACTCAACAACCCAACAACGGCCACAGTGCTTCTCGGGAA